AAAAAAAAAAAAAAAAAAAAAAAAAAAAAAAAAAAAAAAAAAAAGCTCCCAATGGACATAGCATAATCATAACTCATCTGTCTCGGCATAACTTAAAGTTTTACCGTAAGAAAGAACCCGTTTGACCAGGCCCTTCATGCATTGACTCCATCATTAATATTAATATTTATTATTTAATATTTAACATATAAAACATTTCACACACTGTTTGTGGACACTAGCAATCAACAATTTCTCTACCTCCTTGCTTTCATTCAATTAATTACCCATTTGAAAATGCTAGCAATTAAGTTCCTTTCATTTTCAAGCCAAACACCACATATTACTCTGGATCCATTCCTCTGCTTTTCTAGATTATGGATACCATATATCATGCATACCTTTCACTTTATATACCTAACATGTTGCAATGGATCATAATTTCTGCTCGACCCGTTGTGAACACGAGATTATAATTTGTGTATGAGGTCAACCAACGAGGGTGTTGGTCCAATCTTGTTTTTAGGACAACAGTTTCCATAATTCCGGGTAATAATTGTCAAAGCTACTACACATCTAACATAGAATCTAGCTAGCTTTTCAAAATAACCAAAAAATTAAACCCATTAATTTTTATTTTATTTATTTTTCCCTTGAGGAGGAGGTATTATTATGGAGCTAGCTAATGAATGGGACCAAAAATAAAAGAAAAAGTAAAGAAAAAAAAAGAAAAAAGAAAAAAAAAGAGAAGTGAGAGAATAGGATTTATGAAGGAAAGAAGGGAAGGCAGACAGGTTGTTGTCCTATTAACTGTATAAGCACCAACATTATGTACTGAAACAATAAACAAACAAAGCAGTGCGCAGATGAAGAAAAGTGGGGCTGTCCTGATTAAGAGGGTTAAGAAAACAAGGTGTAAGAAAAAGAGAGAGTGATATTATTTATATATTTGCCGTGCAGGGTTGTGATATTAGCATAAAAAGACTAATTAAAAATTAAGTAATGGGAAGAAGGAAATGAAATGAGCTACTAGATGGCTAGCCGACCCAACCTCTTATTGGGACCTAACCAAAGACAAATTGTGTGATGCCATTTCAAGCACTCTCTTTCTTTGTCACTCTCCTCCATTAATTAAAGATACAAATCCTTCTTGGTTTTGGGGGAAGATCACCCCACACCACACCCGCTTCAATCTTTTCTTCTTTCTGGGATTTTCACTCACTAATAATCTTAAATTATACTACAACAATGCAACTTATTTTTCACCGCCACACCCTTGTACCAAATCTATGCTCCAATCATTTAAAAATTCAAAGAAATTAACAACAACAACAAAAATAAATTACAGAGAGACTAATGTTTATCAATTCTAATTTTTATAACCATCAATCATGGAATCAAAAATCACACCCAATTCTATACTTTTTCCTTAAATTTTTGTACACATATAAAACAACCCTTCCGTTGTATGATTGCATCAATTAATCACAATTTTTACTTGAATATTGATCTTAACCTACCCATATGTTTTCACGGATCTAGCCGACCAACTTGTTGAGGATATGTAGTTACTCCTAATTAATAAATTTTGGTGTTCATTAGATTTATTTTTACACAAGATGCATGTTTGGAGTAATAATATGTGTGAATTTAAGTAACATTTAATTTTTTACAATAAATGTTTATGTAAACATTTTGTATTTATCTCTTAATAATTAATCAATAAATATTCACAAATTTTAATACATTAATTACATATCTATATTTGATATTTAAGAGAGGGATAATTAGAAAAAGGCTATAATTTTATTTACTTTCCATCTTAATATTTATAGTTTACAATATATATTTTTAGTTCCTGTACATTTTTTTTTAATTCTTTTTAGTTCCTATAGTCTAAAATAAATTTTTTTAATATTTATATTTATAATTTTGTAATTTTTTAGTCTTTATTGTTACAATTGTCATGTTAACACACAAAAAAACAACGTTATAAAAAAAATTAACAACATAAAGTAAAAGAATTAAAAAGCTTTAAGTATTAAAAAAAATCTTAAATTATAAGAACTAAATTTTTTTTAAAAATAAATATAAAAATTAAAAAGATCTATTTTAAATTATAAAAATTAAAAGATAAAATAAGTAAAATTATATAATAAAAAAAACAAATTAAAAAGTATTTCAACCATTAGGAAATATTGCGGAACCATGTTTATGTTTATAGGTAAAGATTCAAAATGAGATAATTTACTCACCTAATACACTAGCCATCTATCAATAAAGAGATAAATACCCAAAGAAATTCCTTAAACACTGGTTTCATTCTAAATGATCCTTAAATTTTACTCTCTAAATTTTATCCATCCTAAACATTAGTTTGACTCTAAATTAATGATCCTTATATTTTACTCTCTCTCTTATTTTTTTTACAAATAAATATCTTAAACTTTATTTCACATTAATACTTAAATTTCAATTTCATCTCACTTGATTCTTAAAATTTACATTTTTTTATAAATATTCACTTGTATTAAATTGGGGTTAAATGACTAACAAACAAGAAATCTTGATTATTTATTTATTTATTTTAGTCTCAATCATTTATTAGTTTGATTTTATTAATTACATTTTCAAACATTGAAACATAATAAAATTTATAATTAAAATCAAAATTATTTTTCCCTATTTTATTTATTCTAAAATCATTTTTATTATATCTCAATATATGAAGAAAAAAAGTTGTAACACAAAAATAAAAAAAATGAATGAGTAAAATTTAAGATAAATAAACTATTAGATTCTCTTTCGGGTTAGTATTTTAACTCCAACTTTAACTTAAATTATTTGTGTAAGAAATAAATTATAATGATTAATTAAGACAAAATTCAAGTTTAAAATTATTATTTTTAAAATAATAAATTTTAGGGCACTTAAATATTCTCTTGTCATGTTCCTGTTCTCTCTCTCTCTTTTTAATTCATTTATCTTAGCATTGTAATTATAAATTACTTTGGTAGATCAGTGTAAAATATAACATCCCGGGGCTAAAATGATGAAAATTAAATTATGGGTAGAAGTGTAATTTTACATTCATTCTACCCCAGCTACGATATATCATTTTTTTTATTATTAATTATCCTAACTATTTTAATATGCACACCGCATATCATAAATTTTTGTAACAAATTTATAATAAATAAATATTTTGAATATATAAATTATATTATAATTAAATTTATGAAGAAAAATAATGTGTTATATTTATAATAAATAATTTATCCTGTAATATAAAATTATTTTAATATTTTATTAAAAAAATATTAACATTTAATTTTAAAAATAAAATAATAAATCGAAAGAAATAAGAAGTTAAGAAATTTTTTTAAAATTATTCTTTTTGAAGAAAAATAATTAATGGCATTATCCTTGAAAAATGATATGTGAAAACACCCTTAAATATTGTTATTTTAATTTATTTATAGAAAAAAATATATTTTACAAAGATAATAGTGAAGGAAATGTAACCGTGTTGTAAAGGCAACAGATGCAGAGGACCTAAATAATGAAGGGGAAAAGATAGGAAGGTGGAGAAAAAAAATGTTGATTTAGTTAACATAGAATATATTAGCAAATAAAAACAAGGTTGTGAAGAGAGTAAATATGAGTTTTTATTGGATTAAAATAAAATAGTCAATTTTGTTATAACTAAATCATGTCATGTTTGAACGTTTCTCTTCTTTTTTTGATTAACCAAGGAAAAGAAAGTTTCTCTTCTTACTGCTGTGCCTCCCATGGGATTAAATTTTGCTACGTTAGTTTTGGGTCATTTGAAATAGTCCTTTGTGAAACCCTTTTAATTAGCAAATCCCTTTTCAACAACAAGAAATTTAGCAAAGAAAGAAAACTCAACATATATACCTCTTCCAATCATGCATCTAGATCGGGAATACTTTAATCTACTCCTAGTTTTCTAAGAAAAGAATTATGATCAAACACAGCTGTTAAGACCTTGAACATTCACGACCCAGTAAAAATTAATCCTTGCTTTACCATTAATTTTGCTTTTAAGATTTTATTAAGGAATGCCAAATATATCAATGGGGGGAAGAGGGACACAGTTTTTCTATAAGTTAAAATTGGACTCAGTTACAAGTTAATCCTTACATGACGTGTTTCTTACAATACTAGATCAAATATATATGCTCTTTTTTTTATTTATCAAAAATCTTAATTTATTCATTAATATATGCATTTAGAAATGTGTTCAAAATAATATAAATAGGTTGTATTTGTCTAAATACGTATAATAAAAAATTAGTTCAAAATATAGGAAGTAAAATAATTTAAATATTGGTATTAAAGAAATGAGGAGGACTATTCATACCAAGGATTTTTTTTTTCAATACTTTTAATGAGTTCCTTTTATTAAAATCAAAATACTTAATATTTGTGATTTCTCTATCTCTTTATTTTAGTACTTTTTAGATAAAGAAAGAAAGAAAACTGCCAAATTAATGGTAACTACCGGAAATTTTTCTTCATATTAAGAGGGTTAGATAAAATTATATAAATTACATTTAATAATTAAAAAGTATATAATTTAATTAGGTGCCAAACTTGAAAAGACTTGTTAGTTTTTTTATATATAGATGAGACCATTTGAATTATTTATTTATTAGAAAAGCTACTCGGTAACGTAAGGACACTAATTAAAGAATAAAAATAGAAATTATTTTTTATTAGAAAATATATCACTGAACTTTCTTGTAATTTCTGAAATCTTCAATAAAACTTTTTTATTTATTAATTTCATAATCCACGTTCCAAAAATACTTCTTTACAAGACCTTTTTTTTTAAAAGAAAATGTTACATGTATCTTCATCGACAGCAATCATCTTACAGTCAGATAAGAGCACTACAGCAAAATCCTGATTAATTTATATTCTTAATGAATATCCAATACTATTTCATAAATAAAAAAATAAAAAAAAACCATGATTAATTAGTAAGACATATAATTGTGTAGGAAGTAATAGTGTGAACATGCACAAAAAAAATAGAATGAGGAGTGTGAACAAGCTCATCCAATATATGTAATGTGAATGAGAAAAGGAAGAAGTGAATAAAATTGATCCATGTATAATAAGGTATTAATCGACGTGGAAGTGCAGGATTGTCTGCGAACTTCTGAGACGTTTCCATTATCAAAAAGTACGAATAAGCAGTGCAGTAATTGAATTTTCATTTTTAGTGTAAGTACGTGGTTAAAATAATGTTTTTTTATCGAGTTTAAAAAAAAATAATGTTGGTAAAATATGGGAAAAAATTAAAAAAAAAAAAAAAAAAAGTAAGTTAGCGAAGGAAGCAACGGAAACGAGAGGCGCATGGAGCATATAGAAACAACTTGATCCATGGAGAGGTAGCGGTAGCGGCAGAAACCTGCATACAGCAACCACTACAATAACAATACATCACCCGTTTACCAACGCCCACACAATTCTATGCACAGTTTTTCTCTCTCCACCTTGGCACTATTCATTTTTTAATATTATTTATTTTAATCTCTTTTCTTTAGGGTAAAAAAGAAAAAATATTATTAAGCAGGGTGAACGCGATTTACGTAGTTAATAATAATAGAGAAGAGAAAGTGTGTATTTGGAAAGATGTTATCGGGGAAAGTATTTAAATAATATGGGTGATAAGAAAGAAACACGAGACGAGACTAGTTCTAAGGAAAAGCCAACTGGGCGCGAGGAAGAAGAAAAGAGAAAGAAGGAGCGAGCAGAATAAGGTGTCTCTCTTGGACTGATTCGCTTCCATCGCATCTCCTCTCTACTACTCCCTTTTATTTCATGGCCGTCCAAGCTCAATATCCTTCCAATGTTCTCTTTCTAAACAGGTTCCACATTTCTCTTTCTGAAATCTATCATCTATCATCTATCATCTATCATCTATCATCTATCATCTATCATCTATCATGTATCGTGTATTCAATCAATCCCTCTTCTCTTTCAGAAACGCCCAAGAAGGCCATGAATACTCGTTGCAACCGCAACCTGGAGGCCTCTTGAACCAGCCACACATGTTATACAACAACGACAATGGAAGTATGTTATGTTCCTCCACAACTGCACAATTAACAAAGCATTTCATAATTTTCTTAACAGTTAGCACCCTCGCAGGTAACAACAACAACAACAATTCCCGGAAGAGAGGAAGAGAAGACACGGCTGCTGCCAACACAATCACAACAAATTCCAATCTTATCAATCCTTTCTCTTTACAATCTCAGCCTCCACAACTTATTCATCTCTCTCAGCTTCATAATCACCAACAAAATGTAGTCTCCACTGGATTATGCTTGTCCTTCGATGACCAACACCTTCATCAACAACAACAACAACAACAACAAATACTACAACTTCACCAACATCAATCACAACAACAACATGCCTCTCACTCTTCCGCTTTCTTATCTAATTTATCCCAAAGCTTGGCTTCTCAAATCAAACAACAGAGAGATGAAGTTGATCAATTCCTCCAAGCCCAGGTACCAATTTTTTTTTTCATTTTTCTTCCTTTCCAATTTCAATTCAATTACCCACAGAGTGAATTACAGAAACATAGATTAAAAAAAAGGAGCTTTTGTTTTTTTTATTAGAAAAAATAGATTTTTAATTTGGAGTGACGAGGGTTGTGTGGGAAAATGATATCAGGGAGAGCAACTGCGGCGAACATTGGCGGAGAAGAGGCAGAGGCATTACCGGGCGCTGCTGAGCGCGGCGGAGGAGGCGGTGGCGCAGCGGCTGAGGGAGAAAGAAGCGGAAGTGGAGAAGGCGACGCGCAAAAACGCGGAGCTAGAGGCACGCGCGGCCCAGCTGAGCGTGGAGGCGCAGGTGTGGCAGGCGAAGGCCCGGGCCCACGAGGCGACGGCGGCCTCCCTGCAGGCCCAGCTGCAGCAGACCATAATGTGCCAGGGCGGCGAGGAGGCGGGCGGCGGCGTGTCATGCGCGGTGGAGGAGCAGGCGGAGGACGCTGAGTCGGCTTACATCGACCCGGAGCGCGTGGCGGTGGCGGCGGCGCGTCCCAAATGCAGAGGGTGCGGGAAGCGCGTGGCCTCGGTGGTGGTTTTGCCGTGTCGGCACTTGTGCATCTGTACAGAATGCGATGCGCATTTCCGAGCGTGCCCCGTTTGTCTCACACCCAAGAATTCAACCGTTGAAGTTTTTCTCTCTTGACAACCCTCCAAATTTACTTAATTACCCAATTACCCCCATCCTTTCTTGTCCATAGCCAAACAGGCCCCAAAACAAAATTTCTCATCAAACAAAATATAAATAAAATTACATTTTTGTTTCTCTCTTCTCAATTCACATGACCAAAGCTGATGTACATGGCCACGTCGCCACCACTAGCACTGCCATTTTATTTTTCTCATCAATTTATATAAAATATTAATAATATATCTATATATATTCTTTTATTAGATAAATTGTTTTAAAATGTCAATGGTCTAAATAAATATTGCGGAGTTGAAATTTGTTGGTTAGTGATGTTTGGTTTCACTGGGACTAACTAATAAAGTTGCGTGCTTATTTGAGCTTTGATTTTCCGTTTTCTCATTAATTGCATGCCTCAGGTAAGAGTGATTTTTCAGTTGTCAATTTGAGGGGCAACGTGCATGCGTGCATCCACAGGTAACATTTTTTTTGTTTTTCTTTTTTACTTGCAAGGCATTAGAGACGTGGAATTTGTTGCACATAGGTTGGGGGCACCACGTTACAAGGTTTAACATAGAAAAATGGTTTGGTTGTGTGGCAGTGAAATTATTTTGAAACTGACTCCAAATATTCTCGAGTCCCCCACTATCGGGTAGGAATGGTGCATTGCATATTGTTTTCAATAAAGCATACGATTGCTTGCCATGGCTTTTCGGTGCCTTTTCTTTCTTTTATCATGTTTCTTCACGATTCCATCTGGAATTGACAAAGGATAGTAATTCTTTCATTTTAGTCTATAATTGATGATAGAGAAAATATTCCAAAACAAAAGTGAATATTACGTTGATCTTTTATGTATATCTTCAACCAAGCATGCAAACTCTTAATCTTGTTTTTGATAGAATTAATATTATAATTTTTTTAATTACTTTTTAGAATAACCAAGCCAACCAAAATACTTTCTAGTGCAACCTTAATTTTTTTTTTCTTTTACATATGTGTCTTAAAGTTTTATTATTAGAGATAAATTAAGTCTGATTAAAGATTATTTTTATTACTTTAAATTCGGTTTTATTAATAACTTGTATTAAACTCTTTAGTTACAGCCTTAATTTGCTTGAGTATTTTCATACTTTTTTTCTGTAAAATATATTTAATTGTTAATAATTTTAAAAGAACAGAAAAATTGTAGTGTCTTCTTGATGCATCTCGAAATAGGGCTGTCATCTGAATTAATTCTTAAGTTGGTAATACTTGTGAGCTGCCGAAGGTTGTTGCAGTGACAAATTGAGAAGAAACTGGTATACCAACAAAAATATATTCCAAGTTTTCAACATAACTTTCAAGGAAGGGTTGTGAGGAAAAATCACTGTGAATCAAGTTGGGTGTTTGGTGATGAGCATGGCCTCCATTATATAACATATTTGTTTAAGAATAGGATTCTTGGTTACTCTTTATTCAGGAAAAGGAGACCTTCAAATTATGTCTCACATAGAAGCTTAATATCTAAGATTTAATGTCAATACCAAGATTAGTTACCATGTGTGCCCTCATAATTTGCAACAAAGATTAATTATTTATAATCATAAATACTTTATACAAATATTATAGTTAAAAAATATTCAAAATTATCACCATAAAAATACAAAGAATTTCTAGATAAGAAATGTAATACACTTTCTAATATATTGTTTTGGAAAAAAATTGTTGATGACTAAATTTATTAGTAATCACGTAATTTGGTGAGTAAAATTACTTATTTAATGAGTCTTGTTTAGGATTTGATAATTTCTAATAAAAATAATTTACAAATGTTATTAGCATTCCTCTGTATGATATACATACAATTGGCATGATTTTAGATTCTGAGCATTAATTAAACGAATGTGTATTAATAACAATTAATTGTTTTAGATTTGAAGAGAGTAAAATTTAGCTGAAGAGACTATTTTCACATATTTTGATTAACTAAGATTTGAATCTTCACCAAGAAAGGTATCTATATTTAGTGATCGATCATACCTCAAATCAGATTACCTTTAAAGAAGGATACTTGTAAGAATTCAAAACACACGTTATTTGAAAGCCAAAATAAGTTAATGTTAACAATTTTTTAATGATGGAAAACGTTTAATATGATGTGTTAAAAATATCCTTTTTTACACCTGTGTTAAAACTATTTTATCATTGAAAAATATTACAATCACGTCAATGAGAATTAAAACTAAGTTTTTATACATTCATTTAACCTTCATTAGTAGATTAACCCTAGTTCATGCATTATATATTCTAACCACACAGTTCACATTAGCATGACTTATAAGAAAAAAAATATAAATATAAATACATTTAGTATCTTAAAAATATCCAATACATTGTTCACTGATGAAGTATGAAAATTAATAGTCAAATGTTGAAGAGGATTCAAAATTATTCTTAATGAAAAAAATATAATATATATTAATTGAGTAATAGTTATATTTTTATATAATACTTACCTATTATTATTTCTAATGCTTTGTTAAGAAATTGGGTAAATAAAAATAAAAATAAATTTATATTTTATTTTCTTAAGATATTTCTTTAATACATATAATTTTGATATATATACAATTGGAATGGATTATTAAATGAATGTATATTATTATCAACTCTTATATATTAAATATGATTTTTTATCTTGCACAATAATGTTTTTGAGTGTTTTTCTTTGAAGAAGGGATTTTTGAAAATTTTTAATTTCTTATTTAATTTTATTTTTATTTAATATAATTATTCATAAATTAAATTTTAATATTTTAAAATAAATTATCAATAAATAAAATAATATTATGCTACAATATAAATTATTTACCATAAATTTAAAATATAATTTACATATTTAAAATATCTATTTATACAAATTTTAAATATTTTATATATTCAAACATAATATTTATTTATATATATAATTTATTATAAATTTAGCTATACATAATAAATATTTAGTTTGTTCATTATATAGATTAAAATACTAATTAGCTATTAATTGCTTTAAATTTGACGAGAATAAACTTTACCAAAATAGATTAATTTTACATAATGTAATGAGTAAGTATTGAATTTTCCCCTTAAAAATATGCTTATATTTGATGATCATTTATGTCTCTAATTAGATTGTCTTTGAAAGATGTAGATAGAAAAGAAAAATATTAAAGTAATTCTTATATGTTAAACATAAATCTTTATCTTGTCCGATAGTATTTTTAAGAATTTTTCTTTAATAAAAAATTTTTAAATTTTTTTTAACTTCTTATCTAATTTAATTTTTATTTATTATAATTATTTATGAATTAAATATTAATATTTTAAAATAAATTATCAATAAATAAAT